ATATTTAACCCTGTATGTATCTCTCTCGAGTAGTTTTAGGTGATACATACAACCATTAGGCAATCAAAACTATTATACTTTGTACCAACATGTTGTAAGAGTATACACATTTCCGCTAAATTCTTTAAAGTTACGATATTGTCAATAAAATATAAATCTTTGCGGAAGAAAATATTTTTCAACTTTTTTAAATAATAAGTATTATTATTTTTGTTTTTTCCAGAGAGTAAAGTAAAAATTAATTACTTACCCGGCTGCGCATACCAAAGCGACGATTTGTATAATTTCAAAAACGGCAATACATAGCCGACGCGACATCTTGTTATCGTACAATTCTTCAGTGTGTTTTTATTTCCAATTATGAACTTTTCTCTTTTGAATAGTCGTATGTATGTTAGCTTAACTGTGATCTAATCAGATGTAGAAATGTAAACACGGTGGAAAAAAAAACATAAATATGGTATACATAATTAATTAAGTATTTACATATCGTCAGCTAAAATGCAAAATGATGTCACATCACTTTTCATAAGTTTACAGGCGAAGGAAAAACGATATAAAACAAACCACTAATATTGAAACGAAATTTGAATTTTGGTTTTAAATTGGTTATTTTAATGGCTATATATTATTTGTATACATATATGTAATATGATTTAGAATAAAAACAATATAATAGAAACCACTAATATTAAAATGAAATTTGAGTTTTAGTTATAAAATGATTATATATTGGTTATCACACACTCATCTTGAAACAAAATTTGAGTTGCCGTTATAAAATGGTTATTATAACTGATAAAGATTTTTAATTTTTTTGATGATACGTTGTTTTGCATTTCATGTGACGATATGTATGTACGTGTATGTGATATTGATGTGCTTCCTAATTGATAGAACTTTTTCATTACTTAGAGTACTGATTGGTAAATACACATACATAGGTACATATATTAAAAGAGTATAGAGGTAATTAAGTGGTACGAGAAGAAAAATTCACTTTTTACATATGTATGTAGACACTTATGTAGAAAGACTTACATATGTACATACCATACATACTTAAAAATTGTTTCTTTAAATGTCAAATATGGGCAATTATTACAAAAGCAGTTTCTGAACCAACATAACATAAATATATACAGTTATTATAACACACATGTACGCATGTACATTTCATGTACAAGTATTTATGTTTTGTCAATATCACAGAGTGCATTTAGCATTTATCAAAGTTTGATTGACTTTTCGCCGGCCACATTCGATATAGGTTTTTATAAACATATACTAATTTCCAGTACATAAAGCAGTATGCAATCAAATGAACGTCCATTTCAAGCGTTATATTTATTAAGTTGCTAATCAATTAAGCAACAGTAAATGTGAGAAACACAGAAACATTAATATATGCATATTTTTATACATATATTATTTATATAAAATATATGCATATTTAGAGTATATACGCCGCCAAAGGTCTAGTTCTAAGTGCAGCTGATTGGCTTGCGCTATCACTTTCCCGTTTCCTGCACAGAACCAAGCCACAGTTTTGAATAATATACATAAATATATTTCAATCACGACATGCATGCGAAGTGTTCGTAAATATGTCACTAAGCATTAATAGATTTAAATATCAATATATTATTATATATATTTCACTTTACAATATCAAAACAGAATCACAAAACACGATCGAACTATCGTATGTAGACAAGCGCTCGCGTCAACAGTTGTATTGCGAATGACCAACACTTGGCTACGAGCTCATGCTTATGGGCTTTCGCGATGCATTGCATTTCATTTGTTATAAGTTTACCTCACGTTTGTTTTATTTTATTCACCGTTCTCTTTTTTTATAACCTGATCAGAAGGAAACATCGTAGACCCTATACAGTACATAGATATTGGGTAGTCTAAAAAATATTTTCGTATTTTGTCAATAGATAGTAAGTTGGTAGCACATTGTACCACATATGTATATTGTTGGAAAGGTGAGATTTTAAGCTTCATTTAGCCAAAAAAATTAAATTAAAAATTAAATTCGAAGAAGTTGAAAAAAAGTTACAGGTGCTCAAAAATTAACGAAAATAATGAAGAAATTCGCTATATTTTGAAATTTTTGTATAAAAAAGAGAGAATGCCGGCCTTAAAAACTGGACGATCAGTATCAAGTTTTTGTAAGGAAACTGTTTTAATTGTGAAGGGTATACTAGCTGCGGTGCAACCAAAGTTTACATTTCTTCAGATTTAGTTATAAATATATACATGTATATATTTGTTAAAAGAAGTGCACCTGTGTAGGGTGTTACAGCTTCAGTGCAACCGAAGTTAACGTTTTTTCTTGTTTTTGTTTTAATTATCTCTTCACAAGGCCCTCTTCTCATTGTGCTGTTATTTGCTTATGTTTGGACTTTTGAGTTCATTTGTCTTGGGCGCTTGTTGTGAGATTTGTTTGAGTTGGTTTTTTTTTTAATATTTTTTGCTTTGGCTTTTGTGTGCTTTTATTTATGTTTTTGCTTTATTCTTTGTTAATATAGTGTTGTTGTCTTTGCACCGCTACATGTCGTTTCAGCATACTCAGCGGTTAAACATGTGTCTGTATGTAATGTATTTTTTTACCTTTGCTTTTAATTTGTTTATATTGATTATATTATTTTCCCGACTTACTCATTGTTTACATTCCGCTTTTGTTTTTAAATACACATGCTTTACAAATATATACAATGAGACACGTTACTAGTTTTAAATCCTCAACCTTCCCGCTTCGTTTTCACCATAATATTTACTTATAAATACGACAGCAGCCGGCAAGAATATCCACAACCTGCTTGTAATGGATTTTTACACAACAAATTATGGTGCACTCTTTAAAATATGTGCTGAGAAAATGAGAGAAAATTGAGAAAATCTCTCAGAGATTGAATTGAAAATTCAAAAGCAAAAGTTGATTTCTTTGCACTGTCGTTTTCATATTTTTTTACAATTATCATGTGAGTTTGAAAAGTTCTTCTCCTCATAAATATCACTTTCAACATTAATTAGCAGTCCTCTGTGAGAGAGTTGAGTAGCGAAACCACGAAGCAACTTAATGGTGAAGCAGTGCATAGCCGAAGACATTGATAAACATAAAATCGATCTCACTGTGAACCGATTTGCGAAACCTCATCTTACGTAATTTCCAAGAATGATATAGATAGAGACTTAGCGCAATCTTGTTTCTATATTCTTGGAAACCGCTTAGCACTTTTTCATGCCATTTTGACATTGAAAGTGATAGTAGCTAGAAAACATCTGTATAAAATCAATCATAACGATATTACATTTTACAATTAATTATTATATATAATATAGTATATATGTATGACTATACAATTATATTTTTGTAATATATATACGTATACTTGCATAATATTCTACCCAAGTTCAGAAATAATTAATTGCAGTCCTGTTTAAATTGGGTTTATAACTTTACTTTGAAAGCCTTAACAATTGCCTTTAACATATCCTTATATAACCAAAATAAGAAAGTGGAGCTGTAGTATAGGTAAACTGTAGCTTGAAATGACCAAGCACTGTAACAGCAACTCGTTTGATATATAGAATCGAATGGTTTATATTATTGTTAATTTTGGGTTGTCGAAAAAGTCTTTTCCCTTTCAAGTTAAATTCGGGGAAGCTACCCTCTAGGGGCCCTTGAAAAGTTCCAAGAGGATCCGACATTTTCGGCCAACATTTTGTTCAGCGATGAGGCCCATTTCTATCTCAATAGGTACATAAGCAAGCAAAATTACTTCATTTGGGACAAAGAGCAAACTGAATAGACACAATCATACAGAAAACACAACGGTTTGGTATGGTTGTGCCACGTCACTTCCCACACAACGCATTAATCAATGAATTTTGGGCCGGTTGTTTGGTCATTTGGATCGTGTGATAGGACATCGTTAGACTTTTTCCTGTGTTCAGTCGAAATGCTCGAACGAGTCATCGAAAATTGGACTGAAGGGATGGACCTTCTGAGACGTAGTCGCGGCCAATCTTTGAAAGAGCTAATCTTTAAAAACTAAATGCCGAAGAATGTTCTTTCGAATGTTAATAAACATTCCCCATTAAATTTGAGTTTTCTGTGTTTTTCCTTTAAAAAAGTATGGAACCTCGAAATGGATGTATTTCTGACAAAAAGCTGATAGTTGCCCAAAATTGACGAATGATTCCAATTAGATAAAGGGTGTCTCAAAATCACGCAAGAATTGAATTAATTTCCCACATTTATATAGTACATTTTCTGACAACACTATCGTAAAAAAAAAAACCAAATCAACAACTGACAGTTTGGCTACAGACGTTACACGATAGAATAACTCGTCTTTATTCTTGAACAATATTTCAACAATGATGAGTGATGCTTGGCAGCCGCTGATTGAAAATTTCATACAAAATATGATCGGAATAGTGTTCTACCATCGTCCATTGTGAAGATTGATTTAATTGGCGTCAAATTTTAATCTTGGCTTATCTTTCGGACACCCTGTATAATATCAACATGCAAAAATCAGCAGTTGCTTTGTTGGAAAAAAGACAGTTGACCGACTTCTTATCTTAATCTTAAGTAGTTCGTAGCTAGTTGATCAAAGAAAGGCTAAAGCTGCGCTTACACCTCTACCCATACATACTTACACATACGTACATATACATTAACATTGCTTGTTATAATTCAGTGATATTTAATACATTATTATACGTAAAAGAGAAGCTTACATCAATTTGAATAATTCACAAATTCATATCAGTACTTAGTCGGCCTTTAACCAGAATGTACAAATTGTCGGAGCTGCTGCCTGTATTGGGCTTAGTGATTACGGTAATTGTGAAGACACAAGCGAAAGGATATTATACTATAACTTCACCGGGCAGCATAAGACCCAACTCTAAATACAGTATATATGTGAGTGTTTATGAGGTACAGGATAATGCGAGAATCGCTCTCACTCTGAAGGGGTCACAATTTAGCAAAAATACCGAAATCGTGTTGCCACCTAATTCCGGAGGAAGTGCAAATTTTGAATTCGTTGATATAAAAAATGGCACATATACATTGATAGCGCACGGAATTTCGGGAATTATTTTTGAGAATTCCGCGAATCTGGAATACGTAGAAAATCTACCAATGGTATATTTGCAAACTGATAAGGCACTCTACAAATTCGGAGATACTATACAATTTCGTGCAATATTCCTAGATCAGTACTTGCTACCAGCAAAGGTCAACCAACAAATATCTGTTGTTTTAAAGGTATGTAGACGGTGTATATGTGTACAAATACATACATATTATATAATTATGAACGCTATAAATTATATGCTATAAATTATACGCTATAAATGTGTATGTATTTTTTGTTGTCATAGGATTCGCAGAATAATACTATTGAACGTTTCGATGATATTGTGCTTAATACCGGTGTATACAAGGGAAAACTTAAGTTAGCTGAGCAAGTTGTTGCGGGCGAATGGTCTGTGCAAGCGTTTGTAGGGCAGCAAATGTTGACGGAAAAAATTATCGAGGTGAAAGATTATGAACCGCCACCATTTGAGTTAGCCTTGGACATACCCAGTTATGTGACTTTAAACGAGAATGCACTCGTCGTAGGTGTACGGGCGCGGTAAGTTGACTCAAATAAAGGTTAGGTTTGGAGCATACTGGACCATTTATTGGCATAATAAGAGACTGTGTATGACAAACAAGTAATTCAAATATGAATTAGCTTTGATTTATATACATATGCATGTGTTTTAAAACGAAGTCTGTTTGTTTGTTGTTTTTAGTTATAACGTTAATAGTCCTGTATCAGGAAGCTGCGTATTATATATCATTCCAGAAAGAAAGACCGCCATAAGAAAGACATATCAACTTGAAAATGGAAATAAGGAAATACCAATATATCTATACGAAATAGGTAGAATTATACAAAATGTTATTGTAAATGTCACAGTTGAAGATAACGTACATAACATACGCACCCTTTCAAAGATGGTAAGAGTTGTAGCACATCTGCACGTAATAAGCATGCCATCAATGTCATATGAATGCCATGAACCAAATGAAGTGTTCCTATATCGCGCTCTTATTTACAATTATAACGGCGATCCGATTGATGTGGATGATAACGTATTTGTAACGTTGAATCCGGGTACCAATGGCGGCGCTGAGACATTTGTTAGCCACGTCAATGATGGGGGTTATATTGATGTGAAAATTAAGTGCTCTAATTATAGAACCATCATGGTATCTATCAACTACGAAGGCTCACAAAAATCGGGAAAAATTGAACTAAAGCAACGAAACGATAACAACAAGGAAGGAATTCATGTTAGCACACAGTTGTAAGTTAAACCATTCGCAATCAATAAACATTTATTTCCTTTCTTTATGTAAATACTGTCTCTTAAGCCCAACTATTGATGGGCCTATGGAAGTGCATTTAGCATCGCGGGAGCCCTTCCCCAGTTTTGTTTGTGTGATTGTTGGACGGGGTAATATTGTGTATAGTAATATTATTGAAGTTCCCAACGGCGGCTGGAGCCAAACGCACACCTTCTTTATAACACCGACTTATGAAATGATGCCGGAAGCGCATATATTTGTGTATTTTATAAAAAGGGGCAACATGGTTTCCTACGAGACAACATTTTCGGTAAAGAGCGCATTCAAAAACACGGTAAGTTAATATTGGTGTTGCCAATAGGGATGATATGATTTCTAAGTAACGTTTCGCTCACTTTTAATATGTCATGATCTGTAATTTTTTTCTTCTTATATTCAGTTATGTTTACAATTTCATCGTGAAAAGTTATACGCAAGAACAAAGTTTACAAATTATTCAATTTTACTGCAATTCTCCAATTCTAACTTTTCGTGCGCTTTTGCCATTTTACGGTCGTAATAATCGTCCAACAGTGACGTTAATCGTCTAAAGATATTTCCGCCGTTCAGGCAAGTATTATTGATGACCGCAATTTGTCGCTTCCAAAACGTTCTCAAGAATTGGGACTGTTTCAAAACACAACCTTGCGGGTTTTGAGAAAGGATTTGGGCTTACATCCTTATAAAACTGTTCTCACTCAAGAACTGAAGCCACAACGGACCACCGTAAACGTCGTGAATTTGCAGATTTTGACGTGAAAAAACTTGAAAGCGATAACGATTTTTTAGAAAATAATTTTCTTCGATGAGGCTCAATTTCATCTGAGTGGTGCGGTAAATAAACAAAAATGTCGATTCTGGTGCGAAGAAAACGCACAAATTATTCATGCATAACCATTACATTCACCTAAACTGACAGTTTGGTATGGTTTTTGGTTTGATGGAATCATCGGTCCATACTTCTTTCGAAATGAAGCTGGTGACACCGCTTCTATCAATGCAGAGCGATATAGATCGATGACAATCAACATTTTATGACTGCAATTGGAAAAAGTAATCTTGACAACAACTGGTTACAACAAGATGGAGCAACACACCACACAGCACATGCAACAACCGAATTATCGCAAGAAAAGTTTGGAGATTCGATTATTTCAAGAAATTGTGGCATTGAATGACCTCCAAGAAGTTGTGATTTAACACGATTAGACTACTTCTTGTGTGGTTATTTGAAGACATTGACCTTTACCAAAAAAACGCAATTTTTTCAGCTTCGGAAGTCAATATTAAATTTGCCATTCATGACATACGACTTGATTTAGTGGAAAAATTACTCGAAAATTGAGCTCATCGAATTCGTTTCTGCAAAAGAAGTTGTGGAGACCACTTGAATGATGTTATATCAGAACTTAAGTGTATCAATTCTACTTTACATTAAACAAATATCAAATATCATCGAATATCAAATTCATTAACAATTAGTGTGTGTTTTTTTAAGAAATCATGTTAGTTTTATTGGAAAACACTGTATATGTGATCGTACTTCTCTTACGCGCTTTTAATGTAGATAAAAATAATACTGAAGAGGAATATTAGAAATTTAACTGTAAATATACTCTCATGAGAAAAGATATGAAATAAAATTATGAGAAAAAATATCAAATAAAATGAAAATATCAACTCTTTCAAAATGTTAAATATTTTCAGCTCACCTTCGACACACCAGAAATCATCAAACCGGGTATTGTTCTTTCCTTAAGTATATTTACTGAACCAAATTCTTATGTTGGTTTATTGGGTATGGATAAAGACGCTTTAATGTTAAAAACAGAAAATGACTTGAATACCAGACAAATTTTCAATGATTTATCAAATGTGCATTCCAAGACACTTGTAACCTTGACAAATGCCAATCACTATTTAGGTATAAATGTTAGTAATATTTCATTATGTTCATCAATTAATAATTATAAACCTCATTTCCAGTACACCAACCCAAGCCGAAAGAAAAATTCCTAATTTCAAAACATATCACGCCTCGTAATTATTTCGAAACCTTTGCATTCATCGATTACGTAAGGCATGTACCTTATACCTTAAATGTACCTTATAAAGAAATGAAAATACCTGTTTCAGCACTTTTCCAAATAGTTTATATAAGCTTGGGTTCTTCTGAAAACAATACGATTATTTTTCTGTTATTGCAGCACTACTGGTTATGATGAAGTACCTATAAAGTTACCAACGACTTTCTTCAAATCTTGGGTCATAACAGGGTTTGCGCTTAGCCCAAAAACTGGGCTCACGCTTACGACTTCAATGGCGATGAAAACTGTGAAGAATATATATGTTGATATCGACTTGCCAAATTTTGTGAAGAAGGGTAAGTCCACAAGGTCAAAAATTAGAAATTTATGAATTTTCTTAAGTTGAAATTTGTTTTACCCGATTTTAGGCAGCACTGTTATTTTGGAAGCTGAGGTTCGCAATTACTTACAGAAGAGAATGCGATGCGCTGTTTCGTTGGAAAATAAAAAGAATGAATTTGAATTTGCTACGGAAAACAAATTCGCCAGGGAGATTGTTTATACGGATGACATTCAACCAGAAAAATCCCAAAAAATTGATTTTCACATACGACCTAGAGTTAGTGGCATGATTACATTGAAAGTATATGCTTCATGCCCTCTCGCAAGTTATGTGAATATTAAGAAGCTGAGAGTAATATAACAAACAATGTAGTGCATTGTCTTTACAGATGGTATAGTCGTATAATAAAGGTTCCAAAATATGCAGACATCTATGTATCATTTGCTTGGCATGCCGCCTCGGAGTTTTCTATTTTTCATTAGTGTTAACAGAAGAGCGAATAGATAGGTAGGAAACTCGCTTCCTATTAATTGAAAAAATATCCCATTTCACAGATTTTGTATGAAATTGAATACTATGCAAAATGTATTTATACGATTCTTCCATAAACTTAACCATTGGTTGAATTTGTATAATTTTGAAACAAACTTTTTTTTCATATGTGTTTTAAAACTCAATGAAAAAATATGTTATTGCAAAAGTCATTGTTTTTTAGAAAATACAGTTTTGTAGGAATCTAACATTTTTCCCGGTATAAATTCAACCGGATGTTTGGAAATCCTTATATCCTAATAATATATTAGAAAGTTTGCATGCAATGTGTCCAGGTTCAAACGTGAATCATGTTCGCCTTGTTGGAAATAGAGGTCGACTACGCCGATTTCAACATCATCAGTATTTTTTCACTACGGTCTTTTCTTTAACGTGAAGAGCATAATCGTAGAAATCATAATTATTTCTGAATTTTGCAATTACGCGTTGAAAAACTCCCATAAAAAGCATTATGATGACAGTGTTTTAGGAGAATCGCTCCCATAGTAGCCAGCCGAAAATATCGGACAATATCCAAGGGTTGTACCAAAGTGAAACAGGTCGTGATGAATTGAAAAACCTAACTGAATATATTGACAAAATTTGACACAAATGTGTAAAGAAGCATGACCCCCACAAGCTGTCAAATACATGCCATTCCTGTCGAAGGACGCTGACTGTAATCCGCTGTACCAAATTTAATTTTTGTAGCTTCGGTTTGGGCATAGTTATAGTATTTTATAGATTTACGATCAAAGACATTGCTCTCATTTTCAATACTACCCTTCCGAAGACGCCATGGAACATCCGCATCAATCGCATCAAATATATTTAAATTTTTATTCGCATGCGGACTTCGATTTGTCTCCTTATGCAAATTATTTTTATGTGCACAACTCTATATCGCGGATAGTTTTTGGCAACACAAACAACCTTAGGTTCACATGTTGCTCATATTTCAAGATTATAAAAATGTTACAAATAATAATCTTTATGTATTTTATTTCATAGTAATTTCACCCAATTTATTCCATGCAATTTTCTTGCTATTTCCAAAATTTGTTTAATCCACAATCGGCAAACGTTTACGTTAAGAAATATGTATTCAGCACTGCTTATATGCTTGAATATTTAGTATACATAGAACGATGAAATTTTGTTGATAAGCTTACAAAAGCCCCAACATAAATATAGTTTTTATAAAAGAAAGGGTATGTTTCAATATTTCCCCGTTTTTCGTCGCAAAATCTTCAACTCCCAAAAACTATCATTTGAAACTGATAACAAATACATTCGAGTTTTCAAATAAATATCCGCAATACGAGAAACGTAGCTTCAGTGTTTTACGACTTTGCGCTCGGTATGGTGAATATTTCTGGAGTGCTGCCCATTTTGGGCTTAGTGATTGCGGTAATTGTCGAGGTACAGGCAGAAGGATATTATACTATAACGTCACCGGGCATCATAAGACCCAACTCTAAATACAGTATATATGTGAGTGTTTATGAGGTACAGGATAATGCGAGAATCGCTCTCACTCTGAAGGGGTCACAATTTAGCAAAAATACCGAAATCKTGGTGCCGCCTAATTCTGGACAAAGTGTAACCTTTGAACTCGGTGATATTAAAAATGGCACATATGTATTGAAGGCGCAAGGACTGTCGGGAATTATTTTTGAAAATTCCACGAACCTG